AGCGATGCACTTGCTCCTAGTAGCGTCCTTGTTCCTATTAGTAAGGCTAGCCCCTAGTAGCGTCCGAACGCTCCTAGTAGCGATGCCAGGAGCCCCTAGTAGCGATGCCCTTTGCTCCTGGTAGCGTTGTTTGTTGTTCAACTCATTTCGGAACATTCTTCCGCCTGCAAGTAAGTAAGGTACTGAGGCGTCCAAGCCCAGAATTCCTTTCTGCTGGCGATTCGACGACAGAGAACCACCTTCGGTGTGTTGCTGCGCAGATCATCGGGCCAGGGGGAGACTCGAAGCTTTGACATTTGTCTCTGAAGCACAGCAGTTCTCAACAGCGATGTAAAAAGTTCCGTTGGGGGAATTCTTTGGAACTGTACAGAAGTTCCCCAATAGCGCAGAAGATTGATGTGTGGAAGATCACCTGAGATCCAATGGGACGGTTATGAAACGAAATTGCCAAGGAGTGGACCAGGTGCAAGCTTACAATGGCTGTTGGGCTGTTTGTGGCTACAACGTGATGAAGGCATACCAGTGAACATCAGTCAGCTCTCTGATTTCTTTGACATGCCACTCAAGTTAAGTTTCCCAAATCATCCCAAATCCAAGAACCAAATCAATCATGCGTAAGGTTCTTGAAGGACACTCCCAAGGAACCAGGGTGAGGGAGCTTCCTAGTAGCTTCTTAAGCTTACTCACCTCCACCTACTAGCGATGGCCTCCACCTACTAGCAATGACCCCCCCCAAAAAAAGAGTGCTCTGTGAGGAATTTGGAAGTCAGCGAATCGAATCGCCTCCGTCTTCCTTGCGACCTGACTTGGTGGTCATTCGAAACAAGGCGTGGACGGGGACGCTGCTTGCCTTCGGCCTTCGCGTGAGATTTCATGAGATTCCAAGAGATTCCAAAGGGTGGGCCATGGTGGGCTAATCCCGAAGGTTGCAAGAGTTGAATGACGCAAGTAAAGTAGGTATATAATAACTATATATATATGCTATAGTTTAAAATAATAGAAAGCGACATGAAGCTAATTACTAGTGGCTCAAAGAAACTGTGCGCTTGAGAGTGAGAGAAGCTCTCTCGAGAAACCCTTCACATGGAAACTAGACACATTGTATTCATCGGGCAGAACAACTTTTGTTGGGCGGGCCTTTCTGGGTCAAAAGATGTCAGTCATTGACAGAATGAACAAAGAAAGAAAGAGATAAGGCCACCTTTAAAGTGGCCCAAGAAGCTACTAGTTGGAGGCCATCGCTACTAGTAACAAGAAGCTACCTTTAAAGTGGTCCTTACCTTTTTCTCTTTACTACTTCTTCGCCTCCCTGCTCATTGAACCAGAGAGTGCTTGTAGAGATGTTCAAGTGCTTGCAACCGGCGATGATGTGAGAAAGCTTGAGTTGGCGTCCAACCTAAGAGCGATGGCCTCCAACCTAGTAGCTTCTTGCTCCTAGTAGTAACGCCAGGAGCTACTAGTATCTTCTTGTTACTAGTAGCGATGCCCTTTGTTGCTAGAAGCGATGGCCTCCAACCTTCTAGCATTGGCGTCAGTTTCCATTCACTAAAAGCAGCAGGGCAGGACGCTAGACGTGCGACCTTTTCAGAAGGTGGTTACAGAAATGAGAGATGGCACGAGCCAATTCGACTCACCCCACACGCGGAGCCCGCGGGATTTTCTCGCGTGTGCACGCGCTACATGGTACTGTGGAAGCAAATAGCAAAAAGAGATCATCATGTACAGAGACGTTATTAACGCCCCCCCACCCCCCCACCCCACCTCACCCCAACAAGAATTTTAAACTTAATCAGAAGGTGAGCATATGTGTTCACTGACCTGACCTAACAACATGTCAGGCACACATCACATTAACTCAACTTGTGTGTGCGCAGGTGAGCTCATCCTGTGTGCGCAGGTGAGTTATTTATAAAAAGACATGTGTGTGTGTGTACAGATGAGCAAATGTTGCGTGCGCAAGTGAGGCGCCAACCCCCCAGGCTTTCCAGTGACGAAACCTCTCAGCCATCTGGAGATGGCCTAATAGAGATGGCCTCCAACTGACTGTAAATGAAAACTAAAAGTGATGGCCTCCAACCTAATAGCAATGTCCTCCAACCTTCTAGCGGACCTTGTATGAATTCTGGTTTTCCCGTTGGCGTGCTGCTCTTACCATACGGAATCTTCCTGGAGTGTCCATTCATTCGTCAGCATGGAGTCGTTGAGCATCTGGCTCTGCTGAGTGAGACCATCCGACATCTGAGGACCAGGAACCCAACGGCTGAACGAGTTGTTTTGCTCCAAAATCAGAGGGATGTTTGACAATACGAGCTCCTGCTCAACATGAAGTACC